CTGGAGAAGGATGGCAGGAGACAAATCGCTTGATCATTGTCTTCGGTCCACCCTCTCTGGGGCACCTGGTGCTGGCCACTGTCGGCAGACTGGCTACTGGGCTAGATGGACCTTTGGTCTGACCCAGTATGGCCGTTCTTATGTTCTTTTTCCCCCCAAAATACTTAAAGTTTGTTTTATACCATGATGCAGGAGGTTTTACGTCCCTTCTATTTTAAAAGATCTTAAATATAAAACTGTAGACATTCCTTTTTTGAATCCTGCCAGGCTCTGTCTCAATGAGTTTAAAAGGCTAATTCTATTATAATAAAAATGTATTACTTATCACGTTTAAATTTGCTGCCTTTTAACTACAATAAATGTCCTCTTGTTTTTGAATTATGAGAAAGAATAGCAGAAGCATTCAGTTTACCTCCTCTGAACTACTATATACCCTATTATTCATCTCCCTCTAAACTAAGCAGTGCCAGTCTTTTCCCAGTCATTTTCTTACAGATTCAGGATGACCAGAGGTTTTAGGGAGATAAAGGAGGAGCTGTTTTACTTTCCCAAGAGAAAGTTTGTGCAGTCAGATGTAATAGGAGCAGAAGAGCTACAGATTTGGGGGCAATAAGAGGAAGAATAGCAGTAAAAAAAGATAAACTGTGGAGTTGGTGGCTGTGGTGAAATGGCTGTGGGGGTCTGGATTTATTAATAAAGTTTCCAAAGAAACACAAGAATTCCTACTTAGTCTTCCAAGCTGGCTCACAAGTTTTGGGACAGGTTTCTTAGTCCTATCCCTGATGGAGCTCTCTTCTATTAAACTTGCTCTCCATAGTCTATCCATCCTCACTGACTCCTGCTCCCTGCTGTCATGTACGCAAAACCTCCCTGCTCTCCATCAAGCAGCAACTACCAGGGCTCACAACATAGGTCTTCCCTTCCCTTTGACTCTCCATAAGCTTTGTTTTATCTCCCTCCCAGAACCCTGATTTAGCCATACAACTTGCCTGCCACCTAGAATCAGAACTGAAAGGGATCTCGAGAGGTCATTGAGTCCAGTCCCCTGCCATGAGTATGGCAGGACCAAGCACTGTCTAGATCTTTCCTGACAAGTGTCTGTCTAATCTCCTCTTAAATATTTCCAGTGGTGGAGATTCCACTACCCCCTAGGCAATTTATTCCAGTGTTTAACCACCCTGACAATTAGAATTTTTTTCCTAATGTCCCACCTAAACCTCCCTTGCTGCAATTTAAGACCTTTGCTTCTTGTCCTATCCTCAGAGGCCAAGAAGAACAATTTTTCTCCCACTTCCTTGTAACACCCTTTTAGACACTTGAAAACTGTTATCATGTCCCCTCTAAGTCTTCTCTTTTCTAAACTAAACAAGCCCAATTCTTTCAGTCTTCCCTCACAGGTCATGTTTTCCAGACCTTTAATAATTTTTGTTGCTCTTCTCTGGATCTTCTCCAATTTTTCCACATCGTTCTTGAACAGTGGTGCCCAGAATTGGACACAATATTCCAGTCAAGGCCTAATCAATGCAGAGTAGAAGAGAAGAACAAGAGGTGTAACAGTTAACTTGAACTAAGGATTTAGCTCGAGTTAACGTTTCACTGCCACGTGTAGCCACGGGCAGTTAGTTCGGACTAAGGGGATTTAAAAATGGCGCCTGGATGGGAAGATGCAAATAAAGCCTGGGATATTTAAATCACGGGCTTCATTTGCAACTTCGAATGCCTACATTAGCCTCCCTAATTCGAATTAGGGGGCTAGTGTAGACATACCCTAAGGTGCTGCAAGACTATTCACCGTTTAAGTTTTTCCTCTACCACATTGTTAGAGCTACAGTTTAACATGGATACAAGGCCTTTTTTATACACATATTTTGCAACTATTTTGCATGTGCTGAAAATAAGGTCAGAATAATGTCTAAATGTATATAATTAGGAAAAACACATCCAGAGACCTTCCATCAGGGACACATTTATAAGTATGCTCTACAATGGAAGAGTTTAAACCCATAGCCAAATCCATTTAATTTAGAGAATTTTGTAACTTTTTTCCAGATGGTGGCCTTTTTCTAAAAAAGACTAACTCTATGTAAGAAATAGTTTGGTTTGGAAATTCTATTAGTCAAGTAATTAAGTAAAACAAAACATCAAATTGGTAACAGCTAAGTGAAACAAGAAAGCCTCCCCACTATTGGAACTGGAAGAAAACACAGGGGCTGTGTCTACACTGGCATGAATTTCCGGAAATGCTTAAAACGGAATACTATTCCGTTTTCAGTTTTTCTGGAAAAGGAGCGTCTACATTGGCAGGCTGCTTTTCCGGAAAAGCCCCTTTTCCGGAAAAGCGTCTGTGGCCAATGTAGACGCGCTTTTCCGGAAAAGAGCCCCGATCACCATTTTCGCGATCAGGGCTTTTTTCCAGAAAAGACTACTGGGCTGTCTACAGTGGCCCTTTTCCGGAACAGTGTTCCGGAATAAGGACTTATGCCCGAGCGGGAGCAGAATAGTTTTTCCGGAATAGCAGCTGATTTTGTACAGCAGAGCATTGTTGCTTTTCCGGAAATTCAAGGGCCAGTGTAGACAGCTCGCAGCTTATTCCGGAAAAGCGGCTGATTTTCCGGAATAAGTGGCCTAGTGTAGGCACAGCCAGGTAGTTATTCTATGGACTAATTCTTACTGTTGCAAGTTGAATTAAAAAGGACAAAAGCTTAAGTCACACTATAACTTCAAGGGAGAGGATAATAATCAATTGCTTGTCCTCACCACTTTGAATACAGCATGTCTGGTATTAAAGAAAAGGTAATTGTTTCTAATGGAATGGAAAAAACTGTTCATGCATACTTCCTCCTTGAGTAAATATGGTATCTGTAATGCTGCTAATGAGCCTCATATTGGAGTTCTTCTCAGGAAAACTTTGCTTGATATCAAAGGTTTTGGGGAATTAAAGGACTGTATGAATTAGCCCAGTATTAAAATTTTAAAACCTAATTCAAACCTAGTATTATTAGGCAGGTGCAGGCCTATTTAACTTAGCAGATTTACTCTCAATGATACAATGGATAATAAAGCCTACAATATTCTGCAGAAGAAATGTTTGTCATACAAGATACAACTACCTGAGGGAAACACTAATTCATTTTTCCAAGTGATATATATGCTCTGATTTTACTCAATGCATTTTAAACATCTTAAAAACACTAAACATTATTATGTGTTTGCTAGCAGAAAACTAAAAATAGAACAGATTAAAAACATAGAATTTTCTTGTAGGAAAGATGTGTACATTTAAATTTGTAGTAATCACAGAATATTAATTTTAAAATTAAGAAGTCTTTACACTAAACATAAATAGAGTATTTCTTGTTTGATTTTCAGGCCTGCCTAGAAGGTAACTATTTTTATGCATAGACTTATTTACATACAGCTCTCCAATTGCATCTTGCAACGCTGTGTATCCATAGGAAACAAGGTCAAGTCCAAAGGGCATGACAGAGTAACGGATAATCTGAAAATAGAAAAATAGATCTTAGACATAATTTGCACTGCTTTGTAAGTAACAAACTAGAGTAAGACTGTCTCTGTGCATGTACAGAGTGTAAAAGTACAAAAATAATAAGAATCTATAGTATAGTATAGTGACTCAATTTTCTGTTGTCACTGAGAATCTGATTCCAAAATAATGGGGTGTTGAACCAGCATCATTCTAGCTGTATTCATGTATTTTGTCAGCAAAATTCTGTATGGTTTAGAAATACAGGATGAACCTCGTTAGTCTGGCAACATCTATGGTCTGGCATGATTTTAGTTGGCCAGATTTACCATAGGTGTGGCCATGTTTCCCACAGTCCCATAAAGTTTTTGTTTATAGCCACCAATTCAGGCTCTCAATGTTCTGTGCCACTATTTAGCTTTAATTTACCACTAACTAAATGTCTTCCAAGAGCCCAGTAAGTAGGGGAAGCATTGGTAATGCTGCTAGACAATATTGATCTCTTGGGATCGGACAAATTCTCAGATCGGAACTGGTCAGGTCCTGGACAAGAGAGTTCAACTTGTACAGCAATAAGGCTTTTCATGTATAAACTTTTATAGGAAAAATGCTCACCTTGTTAGTCAGTGTGTGTCTTTGATGGGTCTGGGTGGTGGGAGGGGGAAAACTCAAGTGAGAGCACCTGGGGCAATATTACACTATGGGGAGGCTGCTGCTTTCTCATTTCCCCTTCACTCCATCCTGTGGGGGGAAAAGAGGGAGGACCACATCCTTTCTTCTTTTGCTGCCACTGAACAGTATAGTAAGCAGTTAGGAGAGGCCAACTGAGCTGAGGGAGGATTGTTTCTGCTTACTGTTGGCAAGTAGCCAGGATAAGGACTTTTCAAGCCCCACCTTTTATCTATAGAGCTGGATTTCACAATGCCAAGGATGAAGCTGATTGCCAAATTTTGTTTGGGGTCTGGAAGAGATTTCTGGTTTTCCACATGACAAAACTGTCAAACTGCTCTGTGGATTTTTTTTCCCTTCCATCCAGCACCTTGAAGGTCTACTTTGGGGATTTAAATTATATTCAACCAGTGGGTTGCTTGGGAATGGGCCTCATACACACTGTTCATGGTGATGGGGTTGCCATCATGTTTCATGCAGTATATGGCTCTCCTCATCTCTCTCTCTTGTGTGGAGGAAAGGAATGGATTGGCATTCTAACTTCCAGCCAAGCCTGAGAGTATAGAGGGGGCATTGCTCCCATATCCATCCTCAGGTTTGCAGAACCCAAGTCCATTGATACCAAGTGAAATCCACATTCGAAGAGCCCTGCCAGGTAATTTGGGGTAGTGGTCTCCCATTCAGCAATAGCTATAGTAAGATTGTAAGTTTCTGTATTTAAATATACAATGGCACATTGTTACAAATACAATTAAATTTGTTTTTGTTGAGGATTGAGTTAGTGGCTAAAATGGAAACAGTCTAATAAAAAATATTTGGATCAATTGAAAAACTTATCTCCAGTATTACACTGACCCTAATCAGTATTTTCCTACAACATTACAGACCATAGGATAATCCCTTATCAACTGGGGCTTGTTTTTTAATTTTCTGCTTCCAGATGCAGCAATTGTTAGTAGCTATAAATCAGATTCTTATTAACATAGGGTGTATCTAATGTGGTCTGAAAACTGTATCACTTACTCTGAAAGGCCCTAATTGTTGTCAGATTATTATCATAATAGACAAAGTATCAATCAATATTCTTTAGAATCTGTAGTTTTGAGAACTTCTGATTTATTTGTATATATTTTATTTAATATCAATACCAGCTGAAAGTACTATTGATTATTATCTTTGTAAATTATACATATTACTAAGCTGCAAACTGAGAAGTATGTCCTACACCAAATAACTTATTGAAGATTATTCAAACAAAACCAACAGTAAATATTTACAATTAAAGTAATACAATACCTCATGCTGACTAGAACATCTCCATCCCGAAATATAAATAGAAGAATATTTTCTTGAGTGACATCATGGAAATTGGCATTCTTTTCATTTGCAAAGAACAAATCTGGCTTCCACAGGCATTTAAACATTGTTGGATCCACAGTCAACGTATCTGAACCCCTCCAGTCATTGGGCAATTTAAGTCTGGGGTCATTCCACTTCTGTCTTAGGAAGATGTTAACTCTGTAATCCTGATGAGAAGAACTTGTAAGTGTGTAGCCACAAAAACACCAAAATTAATACAAACATCCAAAAATCATGCGGGCTCGAAAATGAAAAAAGATTTTGAGTTAGCGATTTTCCTATAATGGATACAATTGATCATTCTTCAGTACAATATACTGTCATGATTTTCTCGGTTTTTTTAAAAAGAGAATTAGCTCAAAGATAGCTAAAGTGAGGTTACATGCTTTCTTTAGATTAACTATCTTAAACTAAGAGAATGTGGGCCAAATTCTGCCTTCCCTTACATCTGTGAAGCCTCAATGACAGCAATGATACCTTCTGTGTGTACATGAAGATTGGGTGTAGTCTTATAGTTCTACAAAATATATGTATTTCAGGCTGCAAGATATCAGGCAGAGCCCATATGTATTTCACACTTACATCAATCCTCTGACCCGGTAAGTGTAAATTGCAGCACATGCTTCAGCTGGTTATACAGTATGTTAACAATGTGGCACCACATTATGAAAGTAGAAAACAGGGTAGAGAAGTAATGCTTAGGAGCCATAGAATAAACTAAGAAACCAAAGAAATATGAAACGGTTTTCCAAATTTTGGTGTCAGTCCATTGCTGTACTGGTGATGTTATGCCCCTGGAGTAACTTGAAATAATCTCTCCCAAAGGTAGCTAGAGCTCATTCATTCCACCATGCATGCTGAACCTCACTGAGATAGTACAGGCACAATTAAAAGTAGAATTTGACATTGACAGAGCAGCACTGTAGACCATACTCATGCAAAAATCAAGCAAAATTCTTCCTGAATTCTGAGAACACATGGATGATAGTACAATCAGATCTAAAGAGAACCACATTTTGCCTTCAGTAAATGAAGCAGATTATCTGAATGGTAGCCACATGCATTTCATCCTCAGTGAGAGCAGTGTGCATCCAGGGAACTATTTGACCCAGAATATCAACTATGATTTTCACTCTTACTGCCTGTTCATTAAGGTTTAAGATAGATGCATGCTGTGAACAAAAAGT